CTGACGTTCGGCAATGCGGTCTTGTGCATGAGATCAGAAGTTCAAGCAAGATTAGAAATTAAGCAACGTGGAATAGGTAGGCTTGCTTTAGGAGCTCATGGGAATACACCAAATCAGGGAGTACAAGGTGATATGGGATGGACATCATTTGAGGGCAGGGAAGCTAGCAGCAAGATAAAATTTGAGAAGCGATTGAGAGAAATGAAGGAGGAGCGTTAGGCTAGGAAGGTTTTCTGCTACTTGTACATGAAGAATGTCGATACAAAATGGAGGAAGCGAACCAGGAAGTTGACTGGTAAATACTTAGAAAACAGCAGGTGGCCAAACCAAAAAGAACTATCGGTTAAGAAGAAAGTGAAGGAAACGGAGACTGACATGTGGAAAATGGGCATGATTAAGAAGTCTGCACTAGAGATCTATCGAACTTTTAAGCAGGAAATTGCCAAGAAAAGGATCTATGATAATACTCGGGGTAGTTCTCTACTGTTTGAGGCAAGGACGGGAGTACTGCGAACAAAGACATATCGGGCCAAATACGAAGGGGTAGACACAGTATGCAGTGCGTGTGGAGAGGAAGAAGAAACTGCCGAACACTTGATAATGTTCTGTAAAGGGCTTCACCCTATAGTTCAGGATGATGGCGCAGAGTTTTTCAAAGCACTGGGGTTTAGGGACCGGGTGGCCAAAATAGACTTTAAGCAAGTAGACTTAACTAGAAGGAGGTTATCTGATTGGTGGCTAAAGTCAAGGCACGAGTGAAAATTAAACTCTTCACTGCAAAGTACGAATCCTCAAACTCACTTTTTAAGGAAAAAATAAATAAATATAGTTTTGAGTCCATTAAGTATTATGGCTTGGTGGCGCTAGCCACCGCCCGATCTAAAGGGTACAGCCATATCCATCCATCCATCCATCCATTTGATTTTTTTATGCCCCCCCCCCCCCCCCCTCTTATTTAGATGCACTTTCAGGTTTCCCCTTGCTACCAATTGCTACCAAAAAAATCACAGCATATCAACAGAGTGAATGACAATGAGTGGGGCAAACCGTCCATCTGTCCGTTCATCTCTGAATATGCTGTGCTGGCTATAATGAAGGGATGGACTGTCCTAGACCATAAGGAGCTCCACCCCTAAAATGATGCTGTATCACTGTAGCTGCTCCGTAGTGTGGCAGGTAACTTCAAATATGCGCTGGCTAATCTGCGTGCAACTCAACCGCTTGAGTAACCAACTGACCTCTTTTATTTTATCCTTGCTAGTCATTCATGACAGCAGTAATGCCTTGACATCGTGAAAAAACATGCTTCATTACTTTAAGCTTAAAATACACACTGGTGTGTGGACATGAAACTAAATGGATTTAAATACAGTTTTACTACCTAAGGAATGTGAAATCATTCAAAACCATCAGGAAGTTTTTTTGATTTGACACATGCTTTTTGATTATGGTCAAGCCATCAAATCGCCACAGTAATTTCCGAAATAGCTGAAGGCCTGCCAATGCACTTGTCAGCCATTTTCATGCTCGCACAGACTCTCCTGAATGTGTTTGATACCTACCATGAGCCAAGCTTGTCCCTTTCACAACCGTGGGAAAAAAAATTGTACCGAATTTCACACTCACACCATGACAGTGGCCTCTTCGAATCCTCTGTACGCTTCGCAGCATAGCACCTTAGTGTTAAGGCAAAGCTGAATTCACTACAGCCGCAAACAGATAAACTCATGAAAGTGCTGGTTTGAAACTGCGCGGTGATCAATCAACATGATAGCAGTGGTGGCTTCAATTAGTACAGTTTTTTATCCTAAATTTGAGTGGCAAGTCCAAAAAATCCGACACCCTAACGTGTCAGTGCTGTGCCACACTTTATGTCTTCGTTCCAACTCTTCTTCCCAAGGAAAGATAGCTCAGTCGGCAGAATTTCAGCAAACCCTTGTCCCTCCCCAACCGATGCCATTAATCTGCTGTCTCATGAGACCATGCTGTACTAGCCTACAATGAGCAGTGAAAGTCACAGCTACACAGATGGTCTTCCTAAGACTTTCTTTCTATGAAAATCAGACCGTCTCCAACAATGCTGCGCAGCACCATGCCTGCTTCCCGACGAATGGTCAAATCCTGCTTGTCTACATATAAAGATTTCTTTGAAATGGAAGGACAAGGTGGACGCCTTAATTACCCTGGAGGAGGACGACGATAGACAATGGACGAAATGTAATTTAAAGCCGTGCTAGTCTCTTGGTAGGCCATCCCCCCCAGGCTACTGTTGAGCTGGCAGGCTATCTACAGCAATAACACTTTACTTGCTACAAAATTGTTTTCCAACTTGCTTGTTTTCTTGTCCAGCTTCAGAGCAAAGGCCTGACTTAGGCTACGTCAGCTTGTGAGCCTTGCTACAACATGTTACCATTGTTAGATAGAAAATTTGCAAGCGTCTAAAATTTCACAAATTCTTTATATTGACTCAATGTTACTTGTGGCAGTGCCACTGTGGGATGTCAAGTCCACTTAAGGACAAATCTAAACATAAGATCATAACAAAATAATGCTTATTTGGATGCTACGCTTGTCTGGGTAGCGAAACAATACTGCTCTTCCAAGTCAGGCAGTCTGTTCTTGAAGCCACTACCAATGACTCGTACCTCAGGTGACACTGCCGTGGTGCTGTATGTAATCAGATTGCTATGTAGCCATTGTTACGCAAGGCTGGAGGAGAATGAGGGGAAGGATGCGTGCAAATACAAGTAGAGCGTGTTGCCACATTGCAAATGCATCTGAAATTTCCTGCATGTTTGAAAAATCAACAGCTGACTGCGCTACGTGAAGAGAATTTTTTATATTTAGGTTTGTTATGTTAAAGGGGCCCTACAATTTTACAAAAATCATACAATGGCTTCATTAAAAGAGTTCATTTCCGCCAACAAATCGACATCCATAAAAACTTTATAGAGTCCGCCAAGTGCCGACGGAGTTGGAAATTTGTCGCACACTGTCATTGCTTTCTCTCCTCTCATTCCGACAACCACGAAGAAAGCTAAGTAGGGAGGCATGGCACGAGAGAAGCATGTTGTCATGTGTGCGTCATTACCTTGGCCTCCTCTAAATGCGAAGCATTTTTTAGCGTACTGCAGGCACTTTGAGCATCTGTCTGTCTGTCTGTCTGTCTATCTAGCCACCTACGTCTAGGTCCTCTCGTAATTGCCTTCTGAACTTGGGGTAAAAGAAAATTAGTAAGGGAGAGTAAGATCGTTTGACAAATATGACGCGCTGGTCATGACACAAATACTGTCACAATTCCATCGCGTACATTGCCAAACGCTTTCCGCCAGACTTGTGGCACATACACAAGGGTGAATAAGTGCCACAGAGATGCGGGTATGTGCCACAGGTGATTAATGCGAAGAATGAACGGCAGGGTCCTAGAAGGAATCAAACCCCAGCATTTTTCATGGCAATGAAGTGCAGTCGACTCTCGTTAATTTAGACTCGAAGGGACCACTGAATTTTGTTTGAACTACCAAGAAGTATGAATTATCAGACGTTCTCAGATATATAAATCTGGGCTAGGTGACACCACACATCATGATTAAGCAGTAATTTCATCACATTAAAAAAAAATTAAGCATTTTTAAACCCTAACTGCACCCAATGGACAAAAAGCAGAGGTGTAAGTTCCACAAGTTTATTGGCCATTTACTGCTGATCCGACCTTTTAATGAAATCTTGAATTGCCAACAGCTTCTTTGCTATATGTGCCTTCAGCACAAACCTCGTTTCTACCAGTTGAGAAGCATCACGGTTTACCGTACATGTGCTTCATTTAGAACATTTGTTTACTAGCAAAGCCTTTTTCCTTGAAGGCCTAAGGAGCTTATTTGTCATTTTTAGACTCCTAGGATTATTTATAAGCAAATTTTTAAATAGTAGTGGGAAAGCAGCAGATATTTTCAGGTATGGAACCGCAAAAAGTATGAATGAACTAAATGATGAGTATGAATCAAGAGGCTTTTGAATACATTTAAAGAATATAGGGCCAATCAAGAAATCGAATTGTGTTCTAATTACCCGAAAGTATGAATTATCAAAGTTTGAATTATCGGGAGTTACTGTTATCTGAGAAATTCTGGTAATTCAAAGTTCTTGATAATTCAAACAAAATTCAGAGGTCGCTTCGAGTTTGAATTAACGAGAGTCAACTGTATATGACTCTGGGCAAAGTGACATATTGATTTTAAGCATTTTTACACCCTAACTGCACCCAATGAACAAAAAGCAGAGGTATAAGATCTGCAAGATTGTTGACCATTTACTGCTGATCAGACCTTTTGAAGAAATTACGAATTACCAACTGCTTCTTTGCTATAGGTATGTGCCTTCAGAACAAAGCTCTTTATACCAGTTGAGAAGCGTCACAGTTTACCATGCGTGTGCTTCATTTAAAACGTTTGTTTACTAGCAGAGCCTTTTTCCTTGAAGACCCGAGGTGCTTATTTGTATTTTTTAGACTGTTAGGATTATATACGCACGAAAATTTTTAAATAGTAGTGGGAAAGCAGCAGATACTTTTGGTATGGTACTACAAAAAGTATGAATGAACTAGAGGACGAGTTCAAGTTGAAAGGCTTTTATATACACTGAAAGAATAAAGGGTGAATCGAAAAATTGAATTTTTGTTTGAGTTAACCAAAAGTGTGAATTATTAGTCGCAAGTCTACTGTAGCCAGCTCCCGATGCTCAAATCGGTCAATGGTGACGATTTCTAGTTTACTTTGAAAACCAAGTGTAAATTCCACCCCGCCTGCTGTGCTATAATGCTTGGCTTGGGTGCACTCAGGAGCCTCCACTACCAACTGGCTGCGTTTTTTGACCTTCCTGATGAAGTGTTGCAGAGCCCTTAACTGTAGCTACGTCCTGTTCAGTCAGCGTGTTTTGACTTTATGCAACTTATCAATTTGCTGCCTTGTCGGGGCTAACCAGAGTGGAAAAAAAAAACTCACCTTTCCCACTTGCGGTGATCGAGTTGAGTGAAGTCATCAACTGAGCGAGCGATGTCTTTAAGGTACTGGCGCAGTCGCAGTAACTCACGGTCGGTTGATTGGTTCACATGAGCATTACGAAATGGTCTCACCTGGAAGGACAAAATTATAATTCAAAAGGCGTGAGGATAAAGCGTTTTCTTCATGAAGATGACATGACACAAACACAATTTCTCTTTTAACACAATGCAGGGATAACCTTACCCTCAGACCAGACTGCGGGTTCATGAGAAAATTTCTGGGAATGTCATCTATCATGATGGTGTTCTCGGGACGGTAGGCTGGAACAAGGCGCCATATCAGTGCCAGGGGTTTGATCTGAAACACAGCATTCATGATGCTAGTTTTTTTAGGAAAAAAAGCCGAAGTGACTGCACAAAATAATAAATGTAGTAAACTTGTATAATTTAACTGCATTGACAACAAAACTGGCATTTGACTATACAGAAATTTCACCTCTTAATGAAAATACAGCACCTGGCAGATATCGTTTTTACATAGTATATATCCTGAAAAATGACTGAATGACTGTCACAGAGTAAAAAAAAAAATTTTTATTTTGTTGAACCCAATGGCCAGTGACAATATTTAGGGCTTTAGACAACACTGACATGCCCACTCCACGGTGGCTGTACAACACCCAAAAATTTAAAAAACAGGTTCCCCCCCCACTGTGGCAATTAATAGAAGCGAAGCTCACGCCTGCTTGTTGTTTTGAGTGATATGGCAATGAATGTTAGGTTCAGCTAACCAAACCACTATTTCTCTACTGCAGAAAATAAGTTTTTATAAGTTACACTAATTGTTTTTTTTTTTTTTTGCTGAAAGAACTACTACACCTAATATTTCATGTAATACATCAACAAAAAGTAGAACTCTTCATGGATACAAGTTTTAATAACAAGATGTATGTTTTGTGAGTAATATCACTTATAAACTGACTGATTGAAGATTGCAGGACCACATTCAATGAAGTTTGTGAATAGCTGCTTCTGTCCACTAAAAAAAAACATATAACAGGAATTATTAGATATACGTAATGTCTAATAGGCACCATCTCTAACAATTCAAGCTTTTTCATTGAATAGGACTTCCGTGAAAAAGATTCTATCGTAAGCGCTATATATTGATACATATTCATAATCCTTGATGCTCTAGAAACACTGCACATGTCCACCAACTTTTTTCTGCATGCAGTTGCGAAATTGCCTGGCAGTGGCTCCATAAGCAAAGGCAACTAGGCGGTCCAGCAGTCATTGTTGGCGCATCTTCCAGACATCGAGAATGCAGCAGTTTTTTTTTTTTGTCATCTAGCACCAAATGATCAGTGGATCTCAATGTACTGTCACAAATTTACGAGAATGCAATATTGATGTTCTGCACGCTAGAAAATTCATGAGGGCGGCAGCTGCAGGAAGCACGCTCCACAACGCCAAACTGTAGTTCTTTGGTGATGTGCACTTTCTATCTGAGGAAGGCATTCAAGAAAAGTTAATTGCTGAGGAGATGAGACGCTCAAACTTCTCAGGTAACCTGAAGCGAGCCGCATACATCTATGCGCAGCGGTGAGTGGATGACGCTTTGTTTATATTGTCAAATACGACTCGTAAAGCTCCAATGTCGCAGCAAACTTAGTGGTCTTTAGCCTGTTTAACAAAAAAGACCTAGTGGTCTTTAGCCTGTTTAAACAACAAAGACCCTGTTTCAGTGCTTTTCACCCCACCCCACTACCCATGGTATGCGAAGAACGAAACTGTAACTATGGAAAAATGTCTGTGGAGAGTTCACTAGCTAAATCTATCCAATCCGAAGCCTGTACTTCCCATAATTCCCATGAAGGTACACTATCGCAGTGCCAGATTCCTCTCTAGATATTATTGTATGAAACTCTATGCCTGCATGTTACTTGTTAGCTATAATATCTGTCTATACACGACTCCACTTCAATAGTTTGTGGTCGTGTAAGCGTGTAACATCTGTATAATGAGAAGACATGCTCATTGCGCTTTTTCCACGCTTCGAACCAGACGACTGCAACTCACAACGGTTCTCCGACGCCCTGTCTGACAAGCACACGTTCAATCATGCTCTTTTCTTTAGCCGATTTTTTATGGGCAGTTTGCATCTTGGTAATTTCACGAAATCATTCAAAGCAGTGCTACAAAGATTCGAAATGATGAGTGAGTGCATTTCCAGACAAAGATTCGACATGATGAGTGAGTGCATTTCCAGGCTTCGGCGCCAGGATAAGAACACTCGAATCGTAGACGTCATCACTATTAGCGCATCGTCATGCAGGATGGTATGCGTGGAATGTATCACACTGAACACGTAGCACTACTGTCGATGTCGCAGGAGCACTTTATTTCCTATTAAGTTCTCAAACGCTGTTTGCCTCAAAATAAAGTAACTTCCACGTGGCAGACGCAATTCAAATTTGGCCAAGAGGACCTACGCACACTGATAAATCAAACGAAGGGCACATCTCATCGGGAAATATTATGTCAGTGCTCCTTTAAGAGTGTCATGATTACTGCAAGATATACAGTGGTGTTTACGAGAGATCTCGCAACATATGTGGCTTAGTTACCTAGTTAAAATGACCAAGAAAGCATTCCTGGTTAGTAAAAGCAAAAGTTTCAAGCTCAACTAGCTGCTGGATATAGTAAAGAGATGCCACGAAGGTAGTAAAATACGCTCTAATCAAGTAAATGCATGTGTTGCCAAACGTTGACTAACTTTTTTAAAACATTTTTCAGACCATGCAAATACCATAGGTAGCAGAACTGCCTCTATGGGAACTAGTTGTGTGGATGTACTGCACGAGATAAGTCACCAAGCTACTAGCTCTCGACTGTGGAAATGTGTTTAGCATAGTTTTGCAGTTCTCATGCATCTCATGACATCAGCTTTATGTTGTTACAGTCATTCTTGGCTCGATAAAGCTATCAAGATATACCTCTCCTACGTTGAGGAATTGTAGAAATAGAATTGACCTGTCTGGCCATTCCCGGAGTGGGAATGGGCCAAGTTTTTTTCATTCTGAGGAATCGAAAAGAATGGAATTATGGCAAGTCGCAATTCCCCGGAATGGAATTGGAATTTAATAGAGGTGCCCATTCCGCAACACTGCTTCAGACTGAAAGCAGTGGCAGATATATTCTGTAATGCACTTCGATAAAAACAAGAGGAAGCGCTTTGAAAAACATGCTAAGCACTAACTACAGACTGAGCGGTTTACCCCCGTCTCCATATCGGCCGTTCGTAATGTGGAGGCGTGTTAAGCACTATAATGTAAGCCCCATAAAGCTTACAGTAAAATTTCTTTCAATGATTGTGGTCCTGATGAGCTCAAAGTAATCAAGAAAAAATGTTGTGGTTTGCCTAATAAATTTGCCGAAATGAGTGGGCATGATGCCCTTTTGTAACATAGCCGATGTGAAAAATTTATGTCATGCTACCGAAAAGCCAGAGTGGAATAAACACGCATGCCTATATTCTGTCCTAACAAAATGACAAGATACGGCATTTCATTACCTCTTTGACTTGACTCGGTCTCCTAAAAAAATAAAAAATCTTGCTGCTCACACAAAACCTTGTAACACCGTGGTATTATAACATTAACACTTTGGTACCTTATAATTATATAATTGAGCATGTAAAGTTTATCAGGAAGAAGTAAAATTACGAAAAGCTCGTGGCTCTTCGTTATGAGGACCCACGTATAGCACATGTGCCAGATACGTAACCTTGCTTCCATGCGTAAGGCTGTTCGCTTCACGGCTGCTGCCAACATATTTTTGAGCACTTGTTCATTGACTTATCTTAATTCAACAGCATTAAAGAGCTAGGTGTACAAAAAGAATCAAAAGGCGTGTGCACTTTGGCTTTCCTGGCGGCACAGTTTAGGTCTCTGCCGAGAATTGAAAGCAGGCTGCTTCCTGCGCACAGCCTTTTTCTCTCTTCGGGGACATACAAGAATCTTAGTCCTTTCTCTGGCCTTTTGCTGCAGTGACACGCACAACAACCAGGCATTTCCATAAACAACAAGCTCAGGATTCTACTCTGAAGCCCGTTCCGAGCAGGGAGTCTGGAGGGTTCATGGTGTGCACTGTGAACTAAAAGCGTGCGAAGTTTCTCGTGACATCAGGGTCAGCTGACTAGTGCCCCTCCCTCCCAAACATTCAGCACGGCAAATGCACTAGCTTCGTGAAAAAGGGGATGAAAAAAGGAGGTCGACCGCGCCGCGACATTGTGGCGGCATAAATCAAGAAGCGCCACTATTCTTCCAAGTCCACGATCTAGGGGCTTTAAGTGAAAACTCTAGCCTTGGTTCCTTACACTGTGTGTGTGTGCGTGCACACACACACACACACGGGAGAGATGCGGGTCGAAAAACGAGTTTTTTTTTTACATCACCGATTTTTTATTTTCGCCTGTTTTGACAAGATTAGTACCTCTACTGTTTTGCAAAAAATAATACAGGTCGAGACTTAACTAGAAATGCTTTAAAATTTCATCTAAAGAGCACAAGGTGCCTGTTAAAAGGTCGAAAGTGTTCATTTTTCAAGCACCTTTCCGCTGATAATGCGCCGCCGCTAGCTATTGTTGATCGCATGAGTCGAAAAGTCGAGCCTCACTCTTCAAATAACAAGTTTCACTCGCTCATGCAGCGCAAGAAATAATAAAAAGAATCACTCTTCTGTGCGTTTTTCGAGCACCGCGACTGGCTTATCACATGGTACAAATCGGGGGCCGCCATTGGTCACTGCGCGCCTGTATATGCTGTGAAACCTATTTGCGGGGTCCATGTCTTGTCGAGCAGCGCAGCTGAACAATGCTTTTCTCGTGTTATTATCTTCGTTATGAATGAAAAAAGGCATTGCTCACAAGTGAAAGCAGTTGTGCGGCGCGCTGTGTAGGAATAGGCTACGAGCAGCTGGTGCGATTTGCGGCAGTTGTTGGCTTGCAAAAATCAATGCATCAAAGTCATTCGCACCGGTCAGCCGGAAAGTTTGTGATGCGGCAATGGATGACGTCAGCGCCAATCTTGAGAGGTCGAAAGAGCTCGCAGTGAGATAACTTAGCAGGGACGACATTGCCATTATGTACGATGGTATGTGGCACAAACATGGCTGCAAAATGGCATTACACTGGACTTAGTTGGAATTTCGCAGTCCTGTCGAACTTATTCCTAGCTTGCAGTTGGCACAAGGCTCTGCCAGATGGAGCGCAAGTTTGGCAAGCTTTCCATGGCCCTGTCTGTCAGGGAAATGTCTGTGATGAGCCGGCTCGAAAACGCCGAGAGGGACAAACTC